TATTTTGCTTAATTTTTGGTATATGCTGTCACGCTTTGGTATGCATTTCTATCAAGTACCCTGAATTTCTCTTAAGCAGCCCTACAGAACTTTATGTAGAGTATCTACTACTCTGTAGGTGACACATTAAAGGAATGCATTTCCACAAAGTGACAGGAAGCCTCTTACCACCAGTACTCAGAACTTTTGCCAAGCAATTACACACATCCCTGGCTCCCAACAGCCATACTGTGAGTTGGACAAAACTTGAGGTTTTCATTTGTTTGCTCCCCATCATCACCTTTATGGAACCACAAAGTATCAGGAAAATGGTAATTACATTGGTCATAAGTCATCTAATGAAAGCCCCTGTGTCATCCATAAATACTAGAAAGGGGGTAAAACAGCCAGGATAAAGTCCCCATAGAAAATACTAAAACTGCATATAGCTTTAGTAAGTAGTGATTAACAATTAAGAGATAGATGCAAGATTCATTCCAAGTGTTATTTCACTGTTAGTTCCAAAACTGCAGAATTCCCTTTCGACCTCACACATCACTCCTAATGCTGTTTACATCTCTAAGTGTTCTATGGCAACACCTCACCTCTACCGAGGTCACAAGATTTCCTAAGGCAGAGGTAACTCTGTAAAACTCAAACCTTTGCACATAAAAGCTGTGACAGAACAGCATTATGCTTTCAAAGACAGGTACTGGGAAGGACTAACATGAAAATGCTTGAACCAAATACCATTTACAACACCGATAATTAACATCTAGAAATCAAATAATGGAATACAGTTGTTTGATTCCGATAAAGAGCCTCATATAGGAAAGAGGTCCTTTCCTCTGGCCAATCTGCTTTATATGATGCAGTTACAGGAGAGCTCCTGCTGAACACAGAGATAGCAAACATACACAACACCAGATTACAGTACCTTTATATGGTTTTCAATTTCTACCATTTCTGAATTTTGAGAATTTCTCATGCAAAATTGTTTGATTTAGCAGTTTGAATGTAAACAGAAAACAAGACCAGAAGCCCATCTTCCATAACTGTATTAATTTCTACCTGCAGAAAACAAACTAAAGCCAACAAAAGCATTGAACAGCTCTACAACAGGCAAAACAAACAGTGTCTGTTGACCACACACAACATGAGCATAGTAGGAAAGAAGTGAGACATTTCTAACAGCTGACATGACCATTGGCTGCATAGCAGTGAACAGAACTGCACTTGTGAGAGGATACTGTCTAATGATTACAGGCAGATACACTAAGCACAGACATACAAACACATGCAGACTGAAGATTAAACAGGTTTCCATGTGCCATATGAAACAAGATTGCAATCCAAGCTCACAAACCCTATTTTGCCTGCTTGTAGAGATGCTGCAAACCACAAACCACAAAGGAACAGTATGAACTGTTACTTCAACATCACTATGCAATGCACAGAAAGAAAAAAAAGCATTATATTACATGCAGTTTTTTGTGGTTTTTTTTTACAAAAGACTATGTTATTCAAGATCTTAAAGTCAATAGAGAAACATTGTATTACAACAAGCTCTAAAAGAAGACTAGCAACTTAAAGAGTGCATTTTTTACAGTAAAACAGAACCAGGGAGAATGCTTGATTTTTCAGGTCAGATACAGTTTCACAAAACATCACTGTGTCATAGATGGGATTAAACTGGTTTTTTTTTTAAGTCTTTACTAACAGCAGTCCAGGAATAACACACATACTACAGAAGCCAGGCACAGGATAATACCAAGGTAGTATTTCTGAAATACCACTGGACATCTAAAAAACTTGATTTAAACCATAACTCATCAATTCACTAGCTACTTTTAGAGACTGAGTTACAAAAAAGGGTAACATTCATAAGACATCTTCCATTTTTCTCTATACATCCACCACATGTATTTAATAACAATTTTCAAGTGCCGTTTGTCTGCATTTTAACCAACTGCAATTCCTATCCAAATACACAAGTTATCTTGTAAAAAGTGAGTCATCCACCACTTCCTGGCATAGTCAGAAGTGAAACTGCTAAGCTGTATCTGCTTTGTAAAAGATTACTAAAGGCCGTATCTATTACGAAACACTTCAGCAGTTAGACAAACAAGTACGAACGTACTTTGCAGTTTACTCCCTGAAGATTTAAAGATAAAATTAAGTTACAATTACTGATTCAAGTCCTATTTGAAAAATAGAAACTGAAAGCTGCTACCTGAAAAAAAAGGAGCATGTATTAATAGGAGTCTTTTGGTATATCTATGAACTGCTTCAGAAAGTTATCATAAGCAATCACAGAAATAAATATTAATATAAAATAATCCTTTCAGCATGAGGTTGGACAAGACAACTTCTAAAAGTCCCATCCAACCAATATCCTCTGATCTTATGAAAATCTGAACCAAGTTTATTCCATTAATGCATTTGCTATATGTAAATAACATCTCAATTTTCTCAAATAATTTCTATACACATGCACATTTATGATACATATTACACTAAAAACATTGCCAAAAGGTGATGACAACCCAATAATGAGAAACACTGAATAAAAAGCAACTTCAAAAACATAAAAAGCTAAAACATTTCCTCTGATCTCTACTAGTCACAGGTTAGCCCAAAGAAGAAAGCTACAACAAAGCTATAGCTGTTACAAAACTTGTAATATAAAGTGTAAATTTGGGGGCAAAAGCATCCTTCCCTTCCCCCCCCCCAAAAAAAAAAACAAAACCACACAAACAATCAAACCCCCACAAAAGAAAAAAACAGTAGAAATGAAGGACAACATGAAGGAATTATTCGGATTGATCATGAACAGATAAAGTCAACAGATTACTGGCTTGATGCTAGATATGACTGCATAAATATTTAAGCAATGCTAAAGAACAGTGATGTTTTTGATCTGCTTTCAAAAATGCAGAATGACATTAGTTTTTTATAATCATAAATGAAACATCCTATTCTATTGGTAATAAAAACCGTAAGATACAGCAAGTGTTACTAATCATATGTCATCAAATCTGGCAAATTAGTATTCAGATTACTTCTTAAAGTCAGCCTGAAAAACAGACAAGTAATACTTGGGTCCTTGCCATTTATTAAAAATACTAACAACTTCAAAATGATCATTATGTAAACAAAGCTTGAAGGAGAAACTTATTAGTCCAGCAAGACAGACAGGAGACTTTACTGCTTAAGCTGCTGTAGATTTCTATCCATCTTCAAGATTGCTTTTAAACATGTTAGGGTTGGTCTTTCCCACCATTTCACTCTTTAAAAGAGGAATCTAAGTATTTGGCAATATATAGCATCAGTCATGCACCAATTCTTTCAGACTACTGGCAACCAGTGAGCGCATATAAAGTCTTATATATAAAGGTAAAGTAGATTAATCCTCCTTTCAATATAAGGAGAAATCTTAACAGTTTTAAACTGTAATAACACAAACCAAAATTAAGTAATTTTAAATCCGCTAAGGAGAGCGGAGTCAAAACAGTAAATACATAAATTAGACCTTTTACTTGTCAAATTAATCTCAGTAGACATAAAGGGGACCTATCACTTCAACGAAGCTTAATAGAGTGTATTAAATGTTTAGCTTGCAGTTAGTACGAAGAGCAATCTGAACTCTTTAATTACAGCTACTGTAACTCTGTTACTACAAATAACAGAAAGTACCAATATATGCTTTTTCTTTAAGTCAAGGCATCTAAATAGGCCTGAACTAATTATAAACCAAATCTGATCAGTAATCAATACACTGAACTTCAGTATAGCATGCTACTCCCCACCCCCAAAAAAAGAAATTAATTGTACTGATTTTTAGAGTTAGCTCTTATGTCAGTGGGGAAAGGGCTATTGATCATATCTCACCTCACTGTGAGCTGGAATCCTCTCAAGATGGAAGAGTCACTACACTTTGCTTAGGCAGTCTAAATAGCAAAGACAGTAAACTTGCTACAAGTTCTTCAAAACATCTGTCTTGATCTAAAATAGTTTCACGAAGCACTTCTGCGCTTAGCTAACAACATCCAGATTATATGGTAGGTATTTCCTCCTCAAACAATCCCAAAAGTCAGAATAAGGTAATTAGCAATATCATATGCTCTGAAAAATATTTTAAAACCATTAATCTTCCATGACACAAAAAGCCTTCTAGTTAAGGCACTCGATACAGCTAACCAAGAAACACAATGGAACACCATAACAAGTAATAAACAAAAAAACTATTAAGAGCTCCAAAAATCTGTATTAATAACAGTTACTACAGGTAGGCTTAGTACTAGCATTACACCAAGCAAAATAATAGTTACAGAAATGAAGATGAAACTATATTCCTCTCTCCAGCTCAGGAGACTTGTGTTCTCATAATGAGGACAAAAAAAGAAAACGATCCCAAAGTAAACAACACTGTCTAGCCAACAATGGCTAAGCAAAACCAAATCCCCAGGAAGAGTTCAGTTCACTAACTAGACCATCGTAAGAATACATATTTCAAGGCAGCAGGGTAATGGTTTGGGGTTGTTTGGGTCTTCCTGATGCCACCCACCTCAAGCCATGCCAGAGTTCATCTAAGAGGCAGCAGCAATGTCAAACAATCACTTCCATGTTCACCATTTTCTAAACTGCACAATCTTTCAAACAAAAACAGTCTCCCTTTTACTGTTAACTTTTAAGATAGTACGCATAATTTGAAGTTTGAGTAATACAATGGAGCAGGTCTGATCTCACCACAAATAGTAACTTTAAGATACAGTTCTTATTATGGGTTTGTAATTGGCAGTCTTTATTAACATCTCTACCTATAGATTTCATAACATTTTTTTGACTTGAACTCCCATTTCTGCAGATTTTCCCACAGATTATGAAGGAAATGCTTTGTCATTTTACTAGACAAGAAGGAAGAAACAGGAAGATGCTTAACTATAGCTGCAACTCAAGTCACAGATACCAGACTTATTAACAAAACATGGCAAGGCACTTCTGGTAGGTCATTTACTTACCTCCACTTGCTGATTCTTGCTCATCCCCTTCAGGAAACGTAGCCTGGCTCGGTAAGCTATTCCTAGAACGAGTGACTGACTCTAAGTGTGAAGCCCTTCCCAACAGAGATAGCTCATCTAGCACCTCTCCTTCTTTGGCTTCCAAATCAGATTTTGAAGTGGTTAACTGTTTTATGTTTCCCGGTGCCATTAAACTATTTGGGTCATTTAAACAAGCTACAGTACCACTGTCCAGGCTCAATACTCTGGCACGGTTCTTGGCACTGTTTGTGCTAGAAGTCCGGCGTGTAGATCGTTTTTTGCTAATTCCTTCAGAGCTTACATGGGTTTTGTGAGCATTTTCAGGCTCTGTGCCCCCACGTTCTTTAGAAATGCATTTGGTCTTTAGAGCACTGTACTTTCCCTCAGGAGACTGGCATGAATGGGAGGTGGTGCTGGAAGAGCTATCACTGCTGAACTGGTGAGCTGACTGCATACTTGAAGTCCTGCTTAAGTCACTTTGATCACTGGAGTCCTCATCGTGACAAAACACAGCACTGTGAGGTTTAGTACCAGATACACCTCGGAAAGAGACGTATTCCCTGTGCCGACTTGAATCAAAACTACTAGCCCGCTTTTTTCCTGTCCTTCTCCGGCTAGACTTGTGGGTAGAGGCTGTTCGATGTATTAAACTAGACGATTTTGGTCGAACATCTCCCTCTTTTTGTTTTCCACTTGTTTCTTTAGAACCTCTTGAATCCACTAACACAGCTAGTTTCTCACTCTGCTCATCTCTTTGTTCAGCAGCCTTTCCAGGTGGCCTGTCAGCTTGTGTAGTCAGTTCATTGGCATGTGGGTTCTTATTGGCCTCTTCTGAAGCAGAGGCACCAAGACCTTTTTGACTGCGCATCTCATCAGATGCATTAGAACCCTTTACCTCTTGAACACCACTGATAGTACTCACTTCCACAGCAGTCCTTTCGCTACTAGTCCTTTTGTCAGTAGTAGAACTACTGTCATCTGAATCAACACCACAGTCCTTTTTCTTACCATCCTTTTTTTCTTCCCTAGGAGACTCCTCCTCATGCTCTGACAACACACTTTCTATATGTGTTGAGCTCGTATGTTCACTTTTATAGCTACTGATGGTACTGTTAGTGTCACGATCGGTCCCACTGCAGTAGCTTTCTGTTGAACCACTGCTTCTAGTACTCAGGCTTCTCAAACTGTCCACACTTTTGTCTGCTTTCAAAGATTTGCTCTTCCCACTCTTAACCAATGGTTGAGGGCTGCTACTTTTCAGAATGTCATCTAATTGAAAGACTCCCGAAATGCAAGAGTTCTCAGCCAAGGACTCTCTCGATCCAGAAGGGGGCTTGGAAGCTTCTAATTCACTGACAGGATCTAGTCCTCGTTTTTGCTGATAGAGAGGGAAGTCATTTAGTGAAGCATCTGGAAAAGCAACAGCAGAGCTAGAAGTCCTTGGTACACCTCGTGGTCTATGATCCTTCCTATAGGAGTGAGAATGCAGAGTTACAAGCGAAGCTACTTCCGTGTCACATGCACTGGCTTTAGACTGGTCCGCAAGCTGGTTGTTCGAGAGGCACACTTTGTCACTGCTGTCTCTTGGCAAATCCTGTCCAGAGGATAATGAAGGTTGGATAGAGACAAACGAGTCATTCGACACGAGACGAAAAAGCTTCCGATCTGTTGCCAAATCTGTTTAAACACATTTAAAAATATTCATGTAAGTTATAAACAACCAGTTGTAAAGCAAATTTTGTATCAGATAAAGTAAATAAACTGACAAATTCATTTGCAAGTACTATGCACTACATTACCATTCAAAAGTCTTCCTAGCACCTGAGCAAATCTGATACTTTGTATACATAAAAAAGAAATCAACACCAGCCTAATCTTAGCAGCTAATAAAAGACAACACCATTCTGACAAGTCCAACTTCTCTATTGCTTGTGTGTCAGAATGTTTTTATACATCCCAAAGTTTCTTAATTTTATAAGTGTACCCTGCATTTTGCTTTACTTCCTACATACAAGAACCTGTTTGTTCCACATTAACTTTGAAATCACAAAAATACCAACAAAACCCACCTTTTCTACCAGATACCAACTAAGCTCACAGTTAGCAAAGATGCAGACACTGGCACAGGTCCAGTGGTATTAGAATGAGACTCCCTGCGAAGTTAGTGAATTTCACTACCATTAAAACCAGTGTTGTTAAAACAGATCATGAGGATTTGCTGTTAGCTCGTGTCAAAGATACTAATTCTATTACCCATCACAAGTAAAAACGTCCACCTGCAGGTATTACTGAAAGTCTACTTTCCTTTCTGGTACTGTCACTAAAAACAGAAGATCTGGAGGCCAAGTTAAGTTAGTACAAACACTAAATTTTAGTAGAATGTATTGGTACATGTGTAACTTAAGAGGCTTCACAAACAGTTCTGTTACAGAGCTGAAAGTAGTAGAACACTGCTGTCTAATACAGCACCATGGCCACCTATAATCTGGTATTTTAAACATACTTTCTGCACTGAATAATGTAGTAACTGAAAGGAACCCACCAGTCTGATTAAACTGGCCAAAATGAACTATAGTATTCCTAGAGTTAACTTCCTGCTAATCAGCAAGTACTCTAAAATCAGCAAACAAAATAATTTCCCTACAATTTTATGCTTCATTTTAGTCTGAACAGACTTTTTCCTGGCAATAAAGGTACATGAAAAATGAGATCTGAAACAAAATTTGACAACTGAAGAATACAAACTAGCAGTTTCCTTACAGCCTAGCAAAACACAATTACAAAACTCTTGTAGCTTGCACATTAGAAGCTTGTAACGCCAAACACAGAACTCTATGCAGCATTATTTATTTTATAGAAAAGCATGCCTGACACATTTGGTTATACTGGAAACAAAAGCAAATTAGTCTACAGTGAAGTCCATGAACCCCAGGCCAATTTCAGTACGAGCAAGATTGTCTAGGGACATGCAAGCTAGCTATCTTTCAGCAGTAAGGAGAAAGTAAATACTTATTACCTCCTGGAAGATGGCAGAACAATAAACACACAGCAAAAGTATTCAAGCTATGCATCCCAGGAATTTAGATTAATTAAGAAACTGAGAACTTCAAGATCCCCTTTCTTAGTCTCTATCAACAAATTGCATGAATTTACTGAGCATGTTAAGCAAAGGGGTTTTGGTAACAAAATACCATGTTTAATATGCAGAAGAAATTTTACCTTGTTCTTCACTTCCTTCTTTACATAGGCTAGAACTCTGGCCAAGACTTAAACTGATATCATCAGAGGTCTTGGCAGTGTCAGTATCTCCTGTGAATTTTAAGAAAGAAGAGTACTAGTGCTCAAAATATTAACACATACATCTACATGCACCATAGATCTCCAACCTGTCACAAAAAACTGTTCGTTTTGTGTCTTCATCCAAAGGTAAATAACAATTACAAGTAACCCAAATTCTCTTATCTGTCAGAAATAAGTATTGCCTACTCTGTTTCTTTTATTATATACATAGGAAAGTTTTCATTCAACTACACAGATCTTGCATGAAGAACTGGAAAAGTACCTTACACAGAAGCCAGTGGGGTTGCTGGCAAAAATTAAGGGTACATTGTAATAAAATACTTGTATAGATAAAAAACAGTAAGGAAAAAAATCAGGAAGGTAAAAAACCCTCATCTCATTTTCTTCTCTTATTATTAACTTAATAAATTTGCAAGATAGCAAGTCTGCTAATTACAAATAATTTACCTTTTCACCTCAGAGAAATTCATAAGCCTTATACTGGACAATAATTGTGCTAGATACCAAGCAACCAGAAATAATCAAGTCGTGGAAATACAAAACAAGAAGGGTGACTGGCTGCCTAGAACTCAAAATAGCAGGTAAAAGTCCACTCAAACAAGCCCCTTCGCTCTGCATTTACAAATAGAAAACAAAAACCAAAACTGAAACAAAAAAACCCAACCTACAAACAAATCAACCAAAAAAACCAACCCCAAACCCTGTTGTTACATGGAAAGCAAAAGATAGATTACATGATATTCTCTCCTAGTATTTTACACACATAATATGCAACAGCAAGGAAGATTTCTTCCAATTAGTAAATGCTGTACTAAGCTCACAGAAAAGTTTTGAAAACATACAAGGTATTTGGAAACAAGGTTGTAAGGAACAGTGATCTGAAGTGCTACTTGCAAGGTAATTTTAAGAAGCAGGCAAAAATCTCACCTTTGATGGTTGCTGCTGTTCCCAGACGTGATAACCCAGATCCAACCTAGAAGGAAGAAATTATGTAAAAAAGCTGTGAATTTTCATGAACTACCTAATTGTTGCCTATTACTGCAATGCATGCATTTGTCTATACACCTAGCAGAGATTTTCAAAGACACAAAAATATCCAACAGGACAGTACTGTGAAATCCTTCCTGACTCAGAATATTTCCACTGCAAACAGAAACAAGGCATTTAAGTACACACCCAACTATATCACTACATTGTTCTGTTTTATAGGTAGTGCACAGGAGATTTTACTATGCTAATTTTAAAAACGGTTTCTAATCTAGAAATTTTCCTTGAAAATACTTAATGTGGAAATAAACTACTGGTGTGGTAGTACACTAACTGCTGTTGTAAAGCTAAATGTTTAACGCAGTGATCACAGTTACCTAACAAGCTTAAAGAAAATACCATGTCTACCTGCTCACATAGTAAACACCAAGCTAAATGCAGAAACTGCTCCCATTGGAAAAGATACATTTTTTTTTTTACCAGGATTAGCTTTCAGGTCTGTCAGACTTGATGAAATAACCAGGTAACCACAGAACCTAGTGTAGTACATGGAAAGCTGCAGCAGCATGAACAGGGGATAGGCAGTATGATCCCCACTGGCAGCTGAATAAACTTAAATCAATTTAACCTAATCATTTTACTGTATCTTATTCCTCTCCCTCATTCCTGCAAATGCAATTTTTCTTTTGAAGACAGTTTCCAAGGACACAGATTAGTTATCTCAAAGCAAGTAAAGTGGTTGGTGGAAAACTGCAATATTCCTTGATTTATTCTTGGATTTTAGCTACAATCACATTTCAAATTTACAGTATCTGCTTTTCAGCCATGTTCAAAGGCCAACTAGCAGGCATGTACCTCCTCATGTGTAAACTAGCAAGCTGCTTAAGTTTACAGTCTGCTTTTTTTATATACATCCTGTAATCTGTACCAGACTATTTTGCAGACATGCTAAACAGAACTTAGTCTTTCCTTCAGTAATATCTGCAGTATCACCTCTCTCAAAGAGCTCTGAAAGGCACACAAAAATGCATGGGTCAATTAAACTCTCAGAAATAAGACAGAACAGCACTCAAAGGCAAAATCTGAACCCAAGATACATAAAAATGATTGCAATCTGACTTTTCTGTATCAGGATGCTGCTTTTCAAAAATCCCTAGTTTAAATGACATTAGGGAAAAGAGCATAATTCTACTACTACTTCTCTGTAAACAGAACATATTTCAGGTAATCTGAAGATGTGTGCAGATTTTATTCAGCCATACTACAGAAGAACAATGGCTTTGCTGCATGTAATGCAAAAAAAAAAAATCAACCAGAGCTTATTTAATGCATTTTCTTTATACAGACACGGTAATTTTTCCATGTTTTAACCTTTTCCCCCCTTCAGTAACATGCTCTGCTGAATGCTGCAACTGAATACAAGTGCATCAGCATGGAAAATCTATCAGACACAAAAAACTGACCCAAACCCAGATGCTTACTGTTCACATACCCTTTTGATGCTACAAATTCAAATCACAGGGTCTAGTGAGCACTTATTTTATCAACATAAACACATTTTAAATAATCTATTTCCTTTCATGGTTGCTTTAACTGTGTTACAATGTCAGCATTAGAGCACATGGGAGACAATACAGAGCTTCTTCATATGCTTTAACATTAAAACTGTTATGTCTGGAATAAGTTTCTTTTTTCCAAAGACCAGTCAAAGAAACACAATCCCCAGCCTAGTTCTGCCTTCATACAGGGACCATTGCTTTGTATCCCTGTAAACACTACTAAATACCTGCTCTCTTCCAAGGAGAGAATCTTAGAGTATCTGTGCTGCGTAACACAGCATTATTCAGATAAAACACCAACATTAGCATAAGACTGCACTACATTATACACTGCTTGTTCAGAGAGCTAATTAGAAAGATTATAATACCACATCAAGGATTTCCATGTAATTCAAAAATAGCTTATGCATCTCTGATATGATGCCGCATTGCATAGTTTCAACATAACTATTTTGTCTGGCCAGGACAATCAACCTGACTTCCCGAAGAACTGGTAAAAGAAAGGTGCCATGACTGGGTAAACATCACAAACCAAACAGAAGGAACAGCACACCGGCACTATGGAAGTTCAATGCATAAATTTATCAGACATAAAGGAAACAAAACAACTTCCCCAGTTAAATTACAAGGCAACTAGAGCATAATGAGTTGCATTAAAACATAACAGAGCCAAGTTCTTCAGCACTTCCATCTGGTGTTCAGCAGCCCTTACTTATTGCTTTATTCTCACCCCTTTTGAGACGTCAAAATTGTGATAATTTTGCAGAGGTCATCCTAAAACAAACAGATTTAGTCTTTCCATTTCTATCAGGTTATCTTGCTTTGTACTTTCATAAATTAAAAGTTTTGCCTGCAGAGTCTGAACTGTCTCAAACAATAACTTTCAGAAAGCCATTTAGCTTTGCAGGAGGTAATCAGCAATGGATACATTAACAGAAGACTCCTTAAATTCAGTACAACTGCAGTTTGCCAATCAAGCGTCTAAATGACAGAGAAAACAAAGCTAAGGGAGGAAAACAGAGCTGGAACATAAGAATGAAGTTTCAGCTTGAGCCGTCTAATTGCTCACAGATACTAAAAGAAAGAGGAAAGCCCACCACAGAGGGCCTTGGTACTTATCAGACCATGTTCTGAGCAGTTTTCATTTACTAAATCAGAAGAAAGCTAACAGCAAAAGGGAGTTCTTTCTGATGGGACAGTAGGTTGCCTTATAAAACCCAGCCATTCAAAAAATGCAAGATGGGAAAAGCAAGAGCTATGAAGCTCAGAGAAAGTAATGCAACCCTAATAAAGCATTTAATAAATACAGAAAGGTAAGCTATTTATCCTGAGAAAATTTAAAGGAAGTAATGCAAGAAAAAAAAACACAACAAAAAAAAGGCAACAAACAAACCAGCAAGGATTACTCAACAGCTTGCAAAGCCAGCAGTACTGAAGCAGCAATTGCAGTAGCTTTTAATTCTTACCTGGTTGTTTGGATCTATCCCAGCATAAGAATTTCGTGAACTACAGCCAACAGGGGGAGTTGCTTCTCGTATGAACTCTGACATCTCAATCCCTCCACCAGGATCACTGACAGAAACATTAAAAAGGAAACATAAAAAGAACATTAACCTACCAGCTAAACTGGATTTTGTCTGTTGACACCGAGTGAGAATTCAGAACAATTTTTAAACACCAGGGGCTCAAATATATCCCAGTATCTCAAATGAATACTGCCCATTTGACACAGGAAGCACAGTCAGAGCTGGAGCACCCTATATACTGTCATAGCAGCTGCTGCCTCATGAAGTCCAGGGTCATCAGCCAATACAAACCATGAAGGCTTAGGAGCTGCAAAATATTTGAAATGCTGACATATGAAATTCTCTCCATAGGTACTTAATGTAACTTTCAGATCATCTGTCAGATTGCAATACCCCCCCCAATTAAAAAAAATTACAAAAATCAATCAATAGAAGGACTACTAAACAGAACTAAATAACAGATCTAAATAGAGGGTAATTACTACAAATCTTTTCAATAGGCTGGATCTTGAAGCAGAAACAAGGATGGGTTAAAGACAACTACACACTTTCAGTAAAGGTTATTGGAAAGGCAGAGACATACAGGGTCCTGGTATACTCCATGTCTGTTTCCCTTCAGATAATTTACAGTTCCTACCAAGAAATATTTTGAGGTACAATACACATTATCACATCTACTAATTTTACCCTTTCAAAAATAGTGATTATTGGTTTGAAGGTATTTTCCAGATCAATATTACCAAATTGAAATTCAACATAATTTAGCTTGTCAAAGACATTTATGAAACAAATCAAGTTGGACCAGTCCATTAGGACACCAGGGTGTGAAATGAGTTGGGGACTACAACTCCAGGATCTAGCCTGACACTGTTTGTTAACTGCAAAGAGGGAGAGGTTGAGGCATCCTTTTTCCTCTCTTTCAATACAGTTCTTTTCAACTGTCTTGAACCAGGAGACTTCTGAACCAAAGTAACTGCAATGTAATTTGAAACTGACCCTCTTAGCTCCTTTCCTAAAGTAAAGGGTTGCCTCCCAATAATCAATGATACAGAGCTATGGCAAGTCCACTCCAGCATTTTGCTGGACAAAGAACATATGCACAGCTCTTCTCCAGCTGGACTAAACTAAAAGATGAAGCTCCTCTGGAAAAGTGGGCAGAAATGGACAGAAGCACTGCAGGACTTAATAGACAGCTAGCCTCACAGAAGATTCTCATGCAATAAGACCAACACCTAATAATTATTGTAATATAGGGACATCAATCTAGAAGATTGTAAACAAACTGTCTGTAGACTGCAAGGCCTGAAGCATCATTCATTCTACAGCATGTCAAGCTATTGTCATGTCAGAGACGTAAAGGTAGAATCTTGGGAACCATTACAGATCATACAGGAGGTCCCTAAACCTTCTTTCGTCAGAAGAGATGACAAAAATCATACAGTCCAAAGTTAAAGACTAGAATGAAAAACTCACTTAACCATTAAGTTTGGTGTACATTATTATAACAACTGAAGATACAACAAAGAGTGGCTTTCACAGAAAGGTTGAATTCCTTTCCTGTTTGAATAAAGTATGTCCCATGAAGCAGAAAAATAAGTCAATGCAAACAAACTCTCATGCACAGAACTGGGTAGTTAGGGTGGGAGAAGGAGGTGATTTTGTCTAAAAGTGAACCCAATGCCACCTTTCCCCTCAGAGCTGCTATATTCTGTGACAGCACTCACAGACTTATGGATGAACAAAAGCTAGTAGCAACAACAAAAAGCAGAAGCAGAAAGCACAGATTTCTAGAATTATTCTTCATACGCACAAGCATCTGGACTACAACAGCACATAGACTCCTTTAGGAGCTATTTTCTGCTACTCTTCTGGCCATTCCCTTCTACTGTTAAGTACTACAATCAGTTTCTTACAGTTTGCTGGTTTCATACCTTAGAGCAAGTGCTCAGTTTGCAAGAAAAAACCCGAAGTTACTACACAAATTGAGATAACTGAATAAATTATGTCCAGCTCTCTGCAACGGAGATTGCTTTGGAAGAGGCATCCAGAGACTGCATAAACCAAATTAAAGCTAGTATTTCTAAAACTAGTAACTGTCCTATCCAAAATTACTACCTCCAGTTGTATTACATAGGTATGTCAAAGACTAAAGGAAAGTCTGAAGAGGCTGTAAGCCTACATAAATTCAGAAGTTTAAAACTTGACTTTGGCTGATTGACTGAAGATTCCCATATTTGGACTAGAACTTCCACAGAGTCTGGAATGAGTAATTTTGATTTCACAACAAAGCAGTGGAAGAGTTTCGTTTTCTTCTAAACACCTTCTTCTGTCCTTAATTTCCAACTAAACCAGCAGGATAACTAGTCAGGAGGCTGCTCTCAAAACACAGAAGGACCACAGCATGTACTGCAAATGCCAGACTGACAGCTACAAGTACTAAGAGAAGTTTTCTTTAAAGCTTGAATCACTGATTACACAGTCAAAAGAGCAAAACAACTTCAAGCTCAAGAACAGGTCTGCCAGTCACAGAAAACTGCAAGAAGAAACAGCAAAAAAGTAGGGCAAGAATTGTAGAGATTACTTTTTAGCAGTAGATTGTACATAACTCAAAGATACAATATTCTTCAGCTGGTAGCTTTATTTTCTAGAAGCACACATGAAATTCATGTAGCATCATGATTATAGTTCGCCCATGCTGATGGAGACTGGGAATAGCAGTCTCACCAGGTTAATGCTTTATAATTCTTGCATCAGTGACTACTATGGTTCAAAGTAAGAAGCCATATTCATATCCCCAAAAGCAAAACTGAGTTCAGGTATCTAAGCATGTCCACTGATACCCAAAGATGACACTTGCACTATTCCTTCTGCTTCTTGCATGTGATCAGGAGCCTGTATCCCCACGACTTGTTTTCATGAAACCTCACAGAGGCATTACTAACATCATTCCCTTAAGTATGAAAGCAGCCACTGTACTAGAAGCTACAGAAGACAATTCGCATTCCCATCTCAAAATTAAGACTAGCTTCTTTCAAAAACATGAACTAGAGAATTTTAGCTTTATAACAGAAGATGAGGAAAAAAATATAAATAATCCATTTCTTAAGGATCAGCAGGCTTTTCTTCACTGAAGCATGCCAAACTCCTATAAACAATTAAAAACCTTGAGTTTGCTCCTATTCACAAATCAATGCAAACCAAAGATAAATGAGTAGCTCATGTAAACCTACACAAATGACAGTATGTAAAATACATGAAAGCACCATTTTGCTGATAAGCATCTTCAGGAAGAAAGAAGATCAGTTCCCTGAAGCTAAACAGTATCCTGAACAACTACTGAACAGAAACCAGACTACTGCTTATTCCTTTAAAAAATACTAATACTCATACCCCAAAGTGGTCTCAGGGAGGGTACACATGGTGGGATGAAAATTCTAGGACAGCTTTTCACACCACACTATATATATATTTAATATCATATGCTGTAGCCTAAGCTACCAAAAATAATATTCTGATCATGTAAATATTTAAAGGTAACACATCTCCTTGGAGCTCCCCTATATCCATTTTATGCTATGGGAACAGAGTTTAAGGAGAAAAAAAAAACCTACATATGCACTTTCTTCTGAGACAGTGGTTTTTGTTGCTAGCATTTCGATTGAACTTACTAAGAAGGTAACAGCTCAATATTAAACACTCACTCTGCATCCCCTCTACTGGTCTGAATGTTATCCCAGAGTCCTTGTAAGCTTCCAGGCAAGGATTAGTATATACTGTACATCCCACTTACCAAAAAGTAACTCCGTAATTTCTGCATTGACCTTGTTCCCAGTTCTAGTTAAGAGACCTGAAAGTGGGAACAAGGATCATATAAAAGTTAATGAAACTTAGTTGGCAAGCAGGACACACAGCATCAAACTAACCTCTACTTCTGAGCTCACAAATGCTTATAATGTAGTAACTTGTCCCATGTCAACTGCTCCGTAAAGCAAAACGGAACTTCTGAAACATCAAGAAGTAGTTCACAGTACTAGTAGTAAAAAGTCCCTTGTTAAGTCTTGGCTACCATTTTGGAAGCAAAAGCTACATGGCTTAAAAAAAAAACACACCAAAAAAACAAACCTGACCACAACATATCCAAGGATCACACCTGAAACATGCATTAGCAAGGTTGCATTGAAACAGAACAGACCACTAGGTTACTTTCATGAGTTTTACAATGCAGAATAAGCATTAATATACATTTAGGCAAGCATTCTGCCAAAATAGCTCATTGGTTTTAGTAAGGTATATGGTGATCTAAATGGAGTCATAATTAAAGTCAGCAGGTTCAGTTACCGAGCACAACACGGAAAAAGGAACAGGTTATAAAAGATTGATACAAGAAGTTACTATATAGCAACTTTAAAGGAATACTAGACACTAGGGAATTTTGCCAACAGTACCCGAGCTGAGAGAACACAGGGAGCTTAAGACGCATCTCATGAGAAGCTATCCCATATGCACAGTGAAGCACTAGGCTGAGCAATTTAAAGAGCATCACTTTAACACTTCCTTTCTTTAAGCATTCTGATAAACAGACTTAAGAGGCTTCTTTCAGCTGCATTTCCTTATTGTACATTCCTCTTTTTTTTTCCTTTTGATTTTTTAAATATACATACAACCTTTTCCAAGTCAGGACAGCATTCTAACTGCCTCACTCTGGCTACTACTACCACCAGAAACTCACAGACAACAGAAAGGCTGTCTTTAAAAGCTAAGAATTCGAGGCTGACTTGTTTCATGCAGTCTAACTCTTAAGATCACCCCAATTATCTGGAGTCAGGCAGAGACTTTGATAATAGAGCTTGTAACATATCCATAGTCTGATCAGACTGGTTAGGCTAGCCTTGCTGATGAGTCATCCTTTGCACTTCTTTCTCCAAAAAGCCTGGTCAGAGGAGAAAAAAAAACGCTCTGGACTTTATGCTGGTGACAACAAACATTTGCGGAAAGGAATCACCTCCTATTGACAATACTTCAGAACTGTCATCGTCATTACTGAGCTGAGCAGTTCCAGAATTTCCAAATTCACAGGACAGTATTCCCCTGAACTAAGGCTATGGGTGGTGTCAAGCATTGTATCTGACTCCTGCTTTTGCAAAGCTAAGCAAACCAAGACCTGATCAGACATTCCTTTTAGTGATACAATACTCATTCAGCATGTAGCATGTGGTCTCCAACAGCTAGAGTTTAAGTCTACTGCTGAAATAAGATTACTTGTACTGGTTGTGTTCATTAAGTATTTAGTGACCTAATCAGCACACATTTTCCATGCTATTGTTTCAGCGCTTCCAGCATTTTCAATATTGTTCTGGAACTCCTCTGGGGGAGGAACCAGGAAATTAGCATGAATTCATCATTTCAAACCTAATACATAAATAACTCTGCTCTTAAAGACCAGACTTAAAGTCTTTCAGAACTACAGAGGTCTACATCTACATTCCTCAGTATTCATTTCAACCACCACTCCAGTGACACATATGACGAAGACAGGACTGTTTATCATTTGAAGCAGTATACCAACATCAGCTGACATCTTACCTGGGCCCATTGCTGTCTTTCCTCTTGGCTGAAACACTGCTTTGTTCTGTTTTTGCTCCTCTGTCCATATGCTCACTGGCATTCCTCTCAACAATTTCTCCCTCATCCAGTGCCCTGTGCAAACGGTAATTCACCATCTTCAAAACAATAAAGAGAGCTGCTATCACCGGGCAGTAGACAGCTACTATCATCATGGAAGAAGGAAGAGCCTTTCAAAAGAGAGTAAGAAACAATTAATGAACACAAGGTCAAATGTCCATGAAAATACATTAAGCCACACAGAAAATACTGAACTTACTAAAAAAAAATGAAGGTTTAAACACACACTCCCTACAGTCAAACTGTGTGGAGATTAATAGAAGTCCAGTAATACAGAAAAAAAAAGGAACAATTGGACTAAAAATGCACCAAAGCAGCATGCTAAGTAGACGTATCATTGGAGAACCCAATTCAACTCTTTTTCTATTTTTCTAGGCTATTGGAATATAATAGACGAGGAAACCTAGAGGTAACAACTAGTAAAAAAATACTAGGCTTGACACAAAATCTTGTTATGAATAAAAAAAAGGGGAAGATTTTAAGCAATTTGAAAACTAAACCAAGCACAGGGTATGACCTTATTTCAGGGCTAGTCCACAGCACCAAGTCCATTTTTGAAAAACCCACGCAAGTTTGACAGCATGGTGCACAGGAGAAAATCTGTTCAACTACCCAACACAGAATCTGTTTTGACTTAGCTTGTCAGCTTCCAACATGACAAAACATTGCATGACAAAACACTGATCGGTCACAAAAGCCAAGATGTAGTCTACTTGCATACAAAAAAAAAAAGGCTGCTTACATCTGTGGCTCACACATTTGAGCAGCAGTCCACAATAACCTGCAAGACCACACACCTCAAAGATTCTTTGTGCTAGACTATTACAGGCCCATGGAAAGGCAGCCAATGAAGATGTTCTGAAGACAGTTTTTCAGCTATGTTAAAGGTGGCCAGAAGCCACGTGAAAAACCTCAGTCCCAAATTCAACTTTTGAAATTTCATTCAGTCAAGATTTCTCATGCAACTTTTGCCAAGGCCCATAAGGTTTTTATAGATCAATTGCTTGACCAACAGATATTAAGTGTGGAATAATATCTACTTAGAAGCGTTCACAGTACTAGTTAAACTTCGGATTTCACTTCAAGTCCTTCACCCCTCTAATTCACCTTTATTCATACTTATAATACGCCATTTCCCTACGCTGTCACGAAACAATGAGATAGGTATTAACTCTTAGTCTTCATCCACAAACAGACCATTTTCCTACCAAAAGGAACAGGAGCCTCTTCATATTTTGTTGTGTTGTTACTGATGGTGTAGTTTGATATAAAATTCTAACAGCCGTAAGTTTATGCATATACACACAGGCATACAGCAATCAGAATTGAACAGCATTTGTTACCTAGCATGAACATTAATTTAGTAAGCAAGAATAAATGAGATGTCTTTTTAGACCTCCTAGCCTAAGGAGAATGTCAGCTTGTTTCATACACCTTGTCTCCCTCTCTAGACAGACCATTGCAAGAGCAGAGTTTTCATGGCAATTAAAGCCCCAAGCACAACTTGCAGAATCATAAAAGGAATATGATTGGAGAATAAGACAGAGCCCTTGCTATTCCGCACCTAAAGCTAGTTTTAGCCATTTAAAAAAAAAGATCTGATTACAACATTAATATTTCTGTATTTAAGAGCCTTATTAGTCCCAGAAGGAATGGCAGTGCTCTTCATACAATTTAAGCTGCAAGTTTAGCAAAAACTTTGTTTGAAGAGATCTCCAAATAACAAAATATCATACTAATAAAGGGGATACAAGAATAACCATTTCTAAATATTGACAGCTGGCTGCAGAACAAACCAAATCCTTAAACCGGCTGCTCACTTTTTGACAGTAAGCGAAAACAAATAATCAATATGACATTTCTAAAGCCAAACAAGCATAAATAATTGAGTCTGGAATCTATCAGAAGGCAGTTACTTATTAGAATCCTTTTGTTAAGTAGGTCAAGTTTAACCTACCTTTTCCTCCAAAGGAAGTGAAGTCCACACCTAACATAACACCCGAAGCAGGAAAGTCAAACTAAGCTGAGGTGTGCCAACTTAAAATTTCCATGCCAAGCTGGACAAGACCTTAGTGGACAGAGAGATTCACTTACCAAGCACTACCTCAAGAGGTTAAAGAGGAAACAAAGTTTTTCAAAAACAGCATCAGTAAGCTATCAGGAGCCACAATGATGCTTATGGCATCAATACAATCCCTGCAGAAACACTAAGAGCTTCCTCAAGAAATGCAGGTTTTTCACTTCCAAGAAGTTCAGAGACAGCTAGCTCCCTGCAGACAAGGGCAGGCTTGTTACCTTTGGAAAAGAAGTATAAGCTTCCTATATGCACTAAGCAGTCTACCTGATCACAAATACAACTTCAACTATCCTCTCCTTTACAAGTACCTGTGTTCAGAAGCCATTATCAGAAGAGTCGGGTTGACATCAGATGACTAAAGCTAAACTTAGTCTATAGAAGATGTGCCCATACTTTTCCATTTTGACAGCTCTTCAATTTCTCCCCTCTACTCCATCAGCACTGAGGTCACACAACATATCCAGTTTATTTTGTGGAATCCAAAATCTACACATCCTGTTCTGCAAAGTAAAGCTTTGAGAAAAACTGAGGAAGGCAGCAAAACACTTGTAGCAAACCCAATAAAGAATTAAAGCTTGCTTTTTCCTCACATCCTGTTTTCACAGGATTGCAAAAGGCTAAAAACAAGATAACTTGCTACTTTTCATTCTTCAACTCCTCTCTGGAGAGGGTATATACTCTGGGAATAGAAGAAATCTTCGCACATCCACCATACTCTGCCATCTGATCATGTGCTACTCATGGTACCAGCAATTCATCTGCATTCCAGTCTCAAAAGGAAGAGTTACTGCAACCTAACCTAAAGCACTTGTGCCTTCTCTATTTTTCTTTGCCAAAATTGAAAGCATTCAACTTCCACTTAGGGTCTTCTCTCTACAAGCAAAGACAAGTTAATGCGAGATCAGCATTTTAAACTGTGCTTGACATTTTGCCACATTTGAGGGACAGGTTCTCACCAGCATAACTGAGTATCCTATACAATACCATCTTCACAATTGTAATACAAACCTAAATCCTACAGATCTGCAACTACATCTCATTTTAGTTCTTTCCACAAGTAGCAAAGCATGTTTATTAGGCACAACAGACTAAAAAAACCTCAGGTTAGAGCTTGTTAGCAGACACCAGCTGGCTACAAGTCTGTAGCTGCAACAGCATTTCAGAGAACATCCCATTTTACTGCACTTATCTAGCCACTTCCATTAGCACCAAAGGAAAACACACACTTGAACAGCGAAAGTCGTAACTAAAGCTCTTACAGGAGAGAAAAAAAGAGCTAGACATGACCACACAAAAACTGCCTGCTTTAATTACACTCTGCTGAAAACTTCAGTCATCTAATGGCTGAACAAACCCAATCATTAGATAAACTCATAGCTGGAACTATTTCTCTAAGCAAAGTTAATCAGTACTCTCAAAGATAGAGGGGAAGGATACTGATTTTTCTACCACCTTTCCCCTCAGGAGTTACTTTCCCAATTTAAAACTTTCAAGACAATTTATGAAAACCACACTATACACATGGACAAAAGTAAGAATGCACAGCTGGGAGTGGGACTGTTTCTTCTGAAAGCTGCTGGCTGCTGTTCAGCTCAATTGTATCACAACACACCTTTTGTGAAAGACTGGGTAGAAAAATGCTTTAAGCACTCCTAGATTACAGTGGTCAACCTGGAACAGAAAAGGAACCTCAGACCACTAGTTACAGGGCTAAGATATTCCCATCTGAACTTCAAAGGTCACTGTATCTTGATTCAACATTTCAAATATATAAGTGCCAGAAACCACAAGGAATTTCATTGATCACAGGCTGTGCTACATACTTATGAAAAAACAAGGGCTATATGGGTCTTGCCTAATCACAGCTAGCTTTAGCTAGACACTGCACATACAATGAGGTTTCCAGATTGTTTTCATAAAGAGAGATGTTTAGGTGTTACCTGCTGAAAACATTCATAGGAAAGTCTCCCAATCAAAATAAGATTGCAAGTCCTTACATAAAAGTGATATTAATCAAACATTCATTAAACAGCAACAGTTGTCTTCTAAAATACTTTCAAGTTCAAGCATTCTGAGACCAGTATTTTTTAGGAACATTCATACTGGTAAAGAGGAAAGATCAAGAATCAGCAGATGGCATTTGTCACCATTTCTTTGTTTGTGAACAGTCAGAGCCCTGAAGAACTGCTGTTATCAGAAGCACATTCAGTTACAAGTTATCTAGTTCTCGACTGAAACCTTAAAGTGTACCAAGGATTCTCATTACATATCCAACTTAATCTAAGTGTTTAAGAAACAGCACCTATTTCAGAAACTTCACTGGAAAGAGACTTTCACATGAAGCTACATTTATATGACCTATTTGTGCAACCATGTACACAAGTCAGGAAATCAAATGCCTATTAAGTGAACTGTTGCCTAAATGAGCTTGACTTTGACAGACAAGTTCTGTAGATACATACAAGCCCATAACCCCAAGCAAGGTACAGTCCCTGGCTCCTCTCTAGTCACTGGCAAAGTTCCCAAAGTACCGGTGCCAAGACTTCACCCCCTCCTGTGCACGTGGTGGGGCTGAAACAGCATTCCGACTAGGGGAAGCGCTTTGGCAGTCTTTCTTCCCCTCCCCCTTGCAGCACTGATGCTTAACACAGGCCTCTGCATTCAGGGCATTTTTTTTCCAACTCTACCACTATGTTTTACAACCTAGTTGTAGAGTTTCCCCATATTGTAGCACGTTTTCTTTTCCCGAGTTTCAGACTAGCGTAAAAACAGGGATGAGCTCTTACAACATGCACAGTTTAATCCGTTACTGAATGCAGATATTCAAACAGGATAGATTTAACTAGTCTAGAAAACAGTATTTTTGTACACATGCTGCCAAGCCACAGAACCAAGGGTACAGACTCAAGCAGCTTCATTCAAGCAGCTATTTCTCTTCCTCTACACCAATTCCTTCATTACCCTTTCTTTTTTGCCAATTTTCCCACAAGGGCAGATTAAGTGTATGAGAAAAAAAAAACAAACAAAAAACACACGAGAAGAAAAGTATCTGAATCTGCAATACAGATACATTTATGCATATGTCTGCCCTTCACACAGGGTACAGACCTCACTTCCATGTGCTCAGAAGGCAGATGAGGGACTAAGGAAGAAACACTAGCTGAATTCTACTGCTAATTTCTTTGGTTGGTTTGCATCATGCATTAAACACATCAACCTTAAAAAGCACTGGTATACACATGCAAAGAAACACACAGATTTATGGCATCACTTGCTGACCACAACTACTACCAGATTCCATTCTGAAAATAAAGGATAAATAGAAGGAATGCACAAATTAAAGATCAGCAAGGTTGGGTGCAATAAACTAAGTCTTTAAGCAATAAATGCATGTGAATTACCATACTCAAAAGAGATTAAGTGTTCCATTCCTGCTGGGGGTTAAACAACATTTGCAAAAATGTTATTAGCTTACTGTAAAACGCACTCAGCCTCTAGTTCTTAGGGGATCTTTTGCTGCCCCAATGCATCAAAGTAACACTGTGCTCTTGGAATTCCTTATGTGAGGAAGTTGTATAAGTAATATAAAACCTGCCAGCATTCTAAGTCTTTCTATATACACCTTGTTTTTTAAACACACAGGGTTGTCTGCCAGCTAGCTAGCATCTGAAGCTAGCTTAGAAACTCCCTCCTACACACCAGTGAGCCACACTCTGAATTCAGATTATGGTTACCTAAGACTTTTTAGGCAAGTTCTGTTTATTTATGTATGTCCTACAGCAATGCAACTTTTATTGCTTTTCATTCTGAAAGAGCTTAAGAGATGCTAAAGAGCTAAGATGACCATCACAGTTCTGCCTGTTTAGTTTATGTCTAGACAACACTTCAACTGCAGAGGGTGGAAAGAGGGAAAACGGCCAAATATGATTCAATCTGCTTCAACTTGTGACTAACCTCCCTACTTATTCTCAGGGAAGTTGGCACTTGTTGTTGCATCTTTAACTTGTCCAGAGCTATGAAGCAAGAGAATTTAACTTCTCTGATCTCCACAAAACCCAGATCAGTCTGCTTCTACCTGTCTTTTTCCCTTTGCACAGGAAAAGGGAAAAAGCAACACTTAAGTTTACCACCCCACAGTATGGCCAACTGAAGCCTAACTGTCACTTTAAGAGGAGCAAGAGACTCAAATGCTAGTCCAGATTTATCAGTTGTGAAAAGACCTATGTACAGTACAGATCAGCCCCCTTCAGAAGTCTCCTGAGCATGCAGGATATAGCTCACCACACCTTTCTGAACAGCTCTCTCAGCAAGGCACTACTAATTAAACAGACTGTCAAAGCAAAAGAGCAATACTTCTGAAAAGGAAAAAAAAACCCTACACTTGAGACCAAAAGGAATGCTGAACAGATAGAGATTCACAGTTTTTATACAGAGGATCTGCCTACCTGAAAGTTTTACCTAGCTGTTGTCACATTAACTTTGGTTTTAAAAGCAGTTTGTCTCAGCCTGCTGTTTCCTTGCCAGCAGTCTGAAGTTCTCAAACAAAAAGCCTTGGAGCTACCTTTTCCAAGACATGATAATATGAATTAAAACCCAACTATACAGGGCTGAAACCTCCTCTTCCACATGAGCTATTTCTTAGTCCGAAGTGTTTCGTACTGCAGTCTTACAACTTGCTTTTTAACAAAGCAAATGCCTGACCCCAGAGGTCTCCATCTCTATACTCAGCTATAGCAACTATACTCACATACAGCTTTTCCTCCAAGGTTTCATTCACTAGCTCACATTTTTTCCACAAGGCAGTTTCTACTTTGACACAGAGCTGAACCTGGCAGACTTGCAAGTTACATTCTATCTCATGTGCTCAAAACTGGCCACACCTAACAGGCTCACACCTTTCTATTGAGAAATCTGAAGTGAAATATTAGTATTTCGTAAATTACACACAAAAGAAAAAGCATCAGCCAACAGGAAGCTACCCTTTCCTCCCATTACTGATCATACCTGTCCTATATTTGTTTCCAAGTCCAAATGCCAAAAAAAAGTTTCTAGGTTTAAAGGTTAGTATTCCAACAGCTTTGACTTAAGTGCCCGATACAAACATGAGTTCAACAGGAATTCTCCCAAATAAAGTACACTGAAGTGTGGACACAAGCAAAAAAGCTAAAGTAGCATCTTATCAGTAACACCGAGTCCAAAATGCTGCCAGCCAGCACACTACACTATAGCCAAATAAACTTCCCGATTATGGACCCTGAAACACATAGCTTCACCAGTCTCATAAGCCAGAAGAGAAAGGGATAAAGCTGCCAGCCAGAAATATTGGCTGGATTCACCAGCTGCTACAGACGCTGTGCTTTTTTTCTGGACTACCAGCAGACCTGCTGTGGAAGCCAGTAGAGTTATGCCCGATTTTTAAGGAAGTAAAAAAAAAACAAACAAAAAAAAACAAACAAAAAAACGAAGGCCAAGTGCCAGGGATCGAAGCCACACCGCTCCCGACGGGCCCCGCTAGCACCCACCCACATCTTCCCGGTAACACGTCCGCGCTTCCGAAACGCCGCAGCCTCGGGCGTATTCCGAGGACCCGCCTCAATCGCGGCCGCCGGTCCCGCCGCGGGACACCCGGCACCGCGGCGGGCGCGGGCCGGAGCAAACGACAGGCACCCGGGCCCCGGGGCGGCCCCGCTCTGGGCGGCGGCAGCGCCGCGAGCAGGGGGCGCGCGAGCGACGGCCCCGCGGCCCTTCCCGCTCCTCCACCCCCCCCACTCCCCGAGCTTCCCCGCTGCCGCCGAGGCGCGCTGCCCCCCCGTAAGGCCCGCCCGCCCCGCGAGCCAGGCCGACACCGCTGCCCCAGGGACGGCTGCCTGCGCTCACCATGTAGAGGGTGAAGGGGAAGCCGAGCAAGAAGAGCCACAGGTAGAGGTGCAGCGCGTTGACCCCAGCGCCCTGGTGCGGGTCCTGGTACCAGCCGCCGCTCAGCGCCGCCCACACGCCCTGGCGCAGGATCTGCAGCACCTGGGAGCCCATGGCGGCCCCGCTCCGCCGAGCCGGCCCCCGGCTCTATCCGCCCTGAGAGCCCGGGCAGAGCCGCGCACCGCCCGCGCTCCGCGACAGCCCGCACGGCCGCAAACACCGCCACCGCCTCCCCAGCAACGCCGCCGCCATCTTATGTCCGGGCCCCGGGCCGGCCGCCCGCCCCCGCGCCGCCGATAGACCGGCAGCCCTTGCGGCAAGGGACGCCCGCCCCGCGCGCTGCCGCCGGGGAGGGACCACGCGGCGGGGGCGGGCACGGGCGCGGGCACGACAGCGACTGCACCTGCGCGGCAGCACGCCGCCGAGAGGGGCACGGCCGCCGCAGCGCCCCCTGGCGGAGCGCCCGCCTGGTGCCGCCGCCGGGGTCACCCTGAGGGATCCGGGCCGCCTGCGGGGTGGTCGGCGGGCCGGGGCTGCCCGGAGCACGGGAACACGGGGTGGCGGGTTCACGCCTGCGGCCTGGCCAGGGTGGCTCCCGGGCTGCACGCCTTGTCAGGTGCTCGGGAAAACGTAGGGAGAAACAAGTGTCACACAGGGGGTTTCTTTGACCTCTCTGAGGTTCTCCTTCCTGGTGAGGCATGGTGGCAGGGGCCATAGTCCCATTGTATACTTTAGTTATTTAAAATTAAATCAAAATATCAACCTCACTGTTTCCAGAGCCATAGAATCATAGAATCAGCTAGGCTGGAGAAGACTTTTAAGATCATCAAGTCCAACCTTTACCCCAGCACTGCCAAGTCCACCACTAAACCATGTCACTCGAGGGCCTCACCTACATGGTTTTTGAACGCTCACGGGGGGGACGGTGATTCCACCACTGCCCTGGGTAGCCTGTTCCAGTGCCTGACCACCCTTTCAGAGAGGACATTTTTCCTAACACCCAGTCTAAACCTCCCCTGGCACAGCTTGAGGCCATTGTCTCTTGTAGTGTCTCTTGTTACTGGGGTAAAGAGTCCTCCCTTTTACTGTCACATATTTTACCAAAACCTTTACGGATCTGTCCCCACTAGAGGGTTTGGTTTGTTGTTTCTGCACATACAAAGCCAGAATCCCACAGGTGTATTAGGAAGGAGAACACGACACAGCAGGCCATGGGTACACCACAAGCTTTTCACAAAGTGAAGTCTCAGCTTCCCCATCCACCTGTTTTTACAGGTCAGTAGTTCACCAAGTCCAGACTTTTCAAGCTTTCCCATTAAATAAGCACATCCCAAAAGTCACACATTGAGATAGAAAGGGACAGATTAGGGAAGGAGTTTTCAGAGTGCTCTCAAGCAGGAGAAAAGGGGAAGGTTTCATCCTTCAAAACCTATGGATGAGTAACACTGAGGATCCCTCACGAAATTACCTTCTCCAGTCATATTTGGGAAGAATGAGCTTTGAGGGTATGTGATGATGCTGTTGCCATGGTGGCAGAAGGATCCCACACGGGTTCTGTCCTGAAAACAACTTACTGTGCCATTCCAGCAGATATGAGACGGGGCAACAGCACCTTCTGGGTCTCTGCTGCAGAGATACTGCAGGAATGAAGCAACCCAAGCACTCAGTCATGACTCATGAGAAGCATGCATTTGGGCTGGTGTTTTCAAGAGGCTGCATTCATGCCACAGTCTCCAGTGTTTTTCTCCCTGACAGTTAGCGAACCAATGGCAGCATTTGGCTATTTTTGGAAAACCAGAAGTCAGAAGTGACTGACTCAAAGCAGATGTAGATGATCTGTTTTTTGTTTCCCCAGTGGGAAAGTAGGGAGAAGGGATGGACACAAAACCCGGCCATGGTGGCTCTCTCTCCCCAGTATAAACAAATAAACTGTTTTTAGCTTTAGTGTTGCAGATAGTACATTTGGAAACACAAGACTGCGAACAGTATTTTGCAGAGGAGCCTTTTTTCACTCTGTCAAACAAGATTGAGATATGAAAGGAAAAAAAAAAAAAAGAGGGCGAAGGGAAAGAAGAGGGGATAAAAAACAACAGAAAACCTGCAGAGGATTTGCATGGATGGAGAAGGGCATTCCCTTTATCCTTTAGGGATAAAGCCAAGCATGACAAACCTCACCAGTTACAGTAGGCTCAGAAAAAAAATGAAACTATGAAGCCTGTTTCAACTACATTATTTGCCAAAATACCATTAAAAGCTAAAATTACAAATACAGCTGTCAAAAGATTAAGTGTTTTGGATGTGTTATCTGTAAATATACTGTGATACTGTAATGATGAGGATTATGAAGCATGCTTTCTTCCATCAGCTGTTTTATGAATGTTACATAAAAGCCGTTCACTTCTCCACAAAAAGGAGGCAAGAGGGATAACATTCATTAATAATGTGTCTGAAGGCTGCAGTAAACGCTTTAAAAACCTTTATGTTTCTGTTTAGGAGCCATTGATTAAATCTGGGCAGATTAGCCTCAGCCTCATAGTAATGATTCTCATTAAACAGTACCCCTGTGTGAGAGACTGGATGCTGTGGAGGCTTATATGGTTACTTCCCCAGCCTCACTTCTAGAATTCATCAGACCAGCTACCAAGTGACAGAGGTTTGGAGGGGTGTGGGTGTGTGTTAAAGCAAAAATGAAACCAAAGAAACAAAGCATGAATATTACAATAACCTACTTTGGTACAGTTAGCACAAGAGCACTTCATCATGGGATTTTCTGGTCTGCATCCAGCAGAGTAAGTGAAAGAATATCATGCGCTTGGGAGGATAATTAAATTTCATTGCTTAGCTATTTAAATGACACAAAACTAGGAAACAATATTATTGGAATCCATCTGCACCTGAAGGCAAAATTGATAATAAGCCCAGTCATAGGCATTATTAACAAAGAAAAAAAAAACCTATTATTAGCTTTTAAGGGACACAAACGTATCTGGATGGAAAGCAAGAACAATAGACTCAATTTATGCATTGAACCTGTGCAATGCAGCAAGTAACTAGCTTATCTTCTGCACTCCATTTTTGCCTTACAGTACTTCTTTAGGATGGGTGTTACTGTCTGTACAGGAAAAGAGTGTGCTCTAGGAGAAATAGAGCATAACATCGGTGAAGAGTGAACAACTTGAGATAAAATATTTAAGAGAGTGGGCATTGAATCACAAGATTGGAGATCAACCTATTTCCACCAGCATGTCTCGTGTAATTTTGTAATGCCAGACTAAGGCAAAGAAGTCAGTGCTACACAGGAAGAGACCAGCTTGAAACTGTAACTGTTATTTCAGCCAGCCAATACTTAAATTGAGTTTTTCCACACATTCTTTATATAATTGCACAGTCAAGTGTCTTCCTTACCACTGCAGGCTATTGGGGAAACTCTTGTGGCAAATTAATATTATTGGCCATCTTAGGTATGGATAATATTAAAGATATGGCTGTTTTACTTGGACATGGCTAAGAACGATCTTGTAATCATATACAGCAACATCTTTCTTTACTTTATGCCACACTCCAGTGGATTGAAAAGGCATTTGCAAAATCAGGGTAGTGCTATATGTGGTACACAGTAGAACATAGGTTTTACTAAATATTCGGATAAACTAATCACAGTTTCCTGACAAGCCTTATGAGCACACTTTTAACATGTGATATCAGAAGAACATGAAGTTCATCAAAAAGGTAACAAAACACTGAAGCCTGCAAAAAAATACTTCAATATGTTGCCATTTCTAAGAATATTATTGCGGCATACTTTGCACCATTAGTAGAACTTTAGTCTCTCTTCTCATTCATGGGAATGAAGTTTTTCACTTTCCCTTCAGGCATCTTTTGTGTGATACCCAAAATTATAATTTCTAAATTGGTTATCAAGAGAATTCCTATGCTTTATGAGAACATAACTTAGGACAAGGGTTAAACAGAAAGTTTCAAAGAATATTTATCCGATATTGGGTGAAATTTATTATGTCCAGGAACAAGCTTATGATTGCTACTTCCTTGTAATTTCTCATTACCGCAATTGTCACAGTATGACAACAGTATGAAGTAAGTAGCTAATAAAACAATCATCAGTCGAAAATAAGAAAAGCACCGATTCACTCGCTTGACAATTACAAGGGTTAGCAGTTCTCTTTCCATGCTGGATACGTTTGTTTTCAGAATAAGATTGACAAACTAGGCCTTGGTGGCTCACTACGAATGTTTATTTACTTATTCCTATTGATTTCTTGTCTCAGGATCTATAGTGAGACAGCAGCATTTCAACCCCAGTTTCTGGATCCTGCTGACACACTACTTATTGTGGATTGGATACAAGGTCCAAAGCAGAAGGTTTGGCTCCAAGAAGAAAAGAAAAAGACAAAAGTCAATTTTCTGTGTAACTTATCAGCCTAGGAGAGAAGTGCGCCTACCTTTTGATTTCCTGAGGAAGCAATAGTTAAAATATATACTTGCTATTTAGGCATTAAGAATCTTTGCCTAATTTTAAGTCTTGATTTTTCCCCCACAACATTCCCCTGTAATTACAACCTGGTTAAAAAGGAGTTTATCTGAGTTCAGAATGTTGTCATAAATGGTAAAAAATGTGTTTTATTCTCTCATTATCTCATATGAGAATTAAGAAGTAGGCTTATTTACAAGGGTGATAGAAAGTAGAAATTCATTCTACAATAATATTTGTTAGCCTGGTTTCACTGTAAGGTAGATAATCTTCTTATAAATCCTGTCAGGAGGTTGTGCTAGATTTGCTTTTAATTACAGTCGAGTGGCTTTCAGCAACTGCAGGACTCCACAGAACATGTTGCCACCATGTTAGCACCTGGTGACAGCTTACCTACTATTTGCACAGCTTTTAAACAAACTTCTAAACAAGAGCCAGATCCTTCCACAGACTACACTCCCTCTCTAGCAGGGAAGTCACATCAGATTCAGCCTTGCATGCTAAGGGATTGCTATGAAATTACTCTGTGAGGTTCAGTCCTGTGTATTATCCCTACTCTCAACTCAAATACAACCTTTAGAAAAAGCAACTAACAGGCTCTCTAGAGTTTCAATACAGCTCAGGCACAGATTTAGCATCAGGAAGGTTACATGGTAGGAGACCACCTCTCTCTGCTGTGCTGGCAGGATCATTGCACACAGCACATGATGCAGCCTCAGCTGCATGTCAGGCTGCTCCCCGCACCACCTTTATCACAGCCCTGGTACCAAACACGCTCCTGGATCCACCTGCCCTTTCGGGATACACCCTGCCCAGCAGCTTGTGGGACAGGCCAAATCATTCCCTCTCTCTCAGCTTGGGAGAGTATAGTTCTTGCCCTCAAAAGCTGAGAAAGAGGAATAAAGGTTTGGGGGTTGTTTTGTTTTGCTTTTTCTTGGTTTTTTGTTTTTTTTTTTCCAACTATCCCTATGACTAATACAGTTCTCTGTAGTACTTCACAGTGCTACTTAGGAAGAGATCAATTCACTGGGTGGAGGATGACAATTACTGATCAGAAAACAGCTGAACCATGAAGCTCACAGTCCTATTAATCCTGCCCATGCAGTTTCTCAGATGCCAGCTACACCTTCTGAGTATGTAAGCTCTTCTGATGTGCTCTCTGAGCCCTGTGGTTTTCTCAAGACAAAATAAGCAGACCAAAGTGAGATTCTCTTCCAAGAAGAGCACTTACATAAGTATCTTATTATTAAGGAGTGCTGAAAGGGGAAAGCCGTTTAAAATAGATCCATGCAGGCAAAGAAATCCCATGACAGCTAAGAAGAAAGAACTCCTACCCACTTGTTGATAGCAACCTTCTGTAAGTTGCCACTAGAACAACAGCATCTTCAATTCCACTCCTTTTCTTTGTTGTCTAGAAATTGTCTCTACACAGCTTTCTTCTGCACATTTTTGGCAGCTACGTGGGCCAAGATCAATTGGAATGGCTTAATGGTCCCATTGCTGGAAACAGACTGCAGTTTTACAAATTAATTACTATTAATTTTCCTCCTAAGGATAGTTTGGTTAGTGTTTCTAAAAGCATCATCCGCTTTCATATTACAGGACCCAACTGTGTGAATGTGTCCATACAGAAATCAAACACAGAAGCATCATCAATGTCCCAGTGACCACAAGGTCTCTCTGAAATAGAGGAATTTGCTAGCATTGCTGGTACAAGAATTGTCTGAAACTACCATAGAGATGGAACATAATAAACAAGGCTAAAATTAGAATATTCAAACACCCAGCTGACAGTATTCTAGCAACATTTATACCACATTCTTTAAAGTACAGCACAGTGGTGCCTCACTGTAAGAAATTTCTACCAAACAATGATTCATGATACCATTGGGGTAGATTCCTGTTTAAGATCTTTGTTCACGGTTAAAGCTCTTTGTCTGAAGTAGAAAGCTCCCATAGCAGTGAATGCGTTCCCAAGACCATCTTCTCAATTTAAAGGATTTCCTCTCTCTTATGGCTCTTTTTAGCAATTTTTCTAAGAAAGTTAGGCCTTTTGAATTGGTCAGTCCCTGTCTAGGAAAATGTTTCAGTTTAAAGTACATAGGCAGAGGCAGAATTATAAAAAATATAAAATGCCTACCTATTTCAGTGTAATGAAAAGAGGCCAAAATTAGGAACCCTCAAGGAGGAAATGTGGGCAGGAGTTGGAGAATAGTCTTAAGACAGCTGGTTTATCTACAGGGAACTGTGGGAGTCTGTGGGAATCTGACTAGTGTCATTGCAAGGTGACAATGTTGTAGGGGATCTAGGTCAGAATTTCACACGACTGGATTTCATACAAGTACAAGGGTCTGCTTGGACAGATGAGTTGAGAAGCCATGCAGGCCTTGGCAATCCCTAGATCTTGCTTGGATTTCAGCTTCATTCTGAATAAACAGAAAACGAACTTTATATTTCTGTCTGATTTCAACTCCTTTGCCAACTGTGTATGTAAGACTCCTCACTGAATACAGCCTTGTCTGCAGTGGAATATGGCAGTGACTGTGTGCTTTAGTAGGAGGTGTGAAGAATAATTTTGACATTCAAGACTATTGGAAACAGTATGTAATTCATTGCCTCGAGATGGAATGTGGCCATAGTTAACGACCTGAATTTGAGAAAAGAACTTCAGGATCTCAGTTTTACATCCCTTTTGGAAGGTAGCATCTCTAGTTCACACGCTGCTTCAGTACCAACATAGGTCAGTCACAGCAGAAGCAGTGCTATTTTTTGAGCAACGAAGGTTTAAATTCCCAGTGATGTTGTATGGTTCGTACTGGCAAGAAATTCCAGCTGCCTTGCAAGATCTGCCCCTTCCTGTATTCTTTCTGTTCTGTGGAGGCCTCCCAGATAAATAATGAGCAGGTCAGACCTGCTTAGGGTAGAAGATCTGATGAAATCATGCCCTGAGGTGTTGTGACTACTATTTTTGTATTTACTTGAATTGGCAGTGCCTGAAGGTACAGTTGACAGATTTCAGAATGTGAAAGGGGGAGTGCCCTTAAACACTGCCACTTTATGGCAGATCTAAAGTAACTTGGTTTCCAGCAACCCTTTAAAGAGCTTTTTAAAAAGAAAACCCATATGAGCTACCCAATGAGTAACATTCCAGGAATCACAGAGGCACAGACTCAGGCTGTCGCAGATAATCTTTCCTTTTTCTCTGGGCCATATTTTCTCTAAGCACTAGCTTAAGGAAGCCATCATCCTACAGCCGTACTACTGCATGAACCAAATGAAATCAAGGGTAAGTACAGCAGAATGGGAGCAGCCTGAAGGAGGTGTGATGCGAGCTTTATTAGAGAGGACATATGGCTTTTAAAGAAAAGGTCTTTGGCAGACAGCTGGAGGTGGCATAGTTATGCATCAGGAAAACAACAGCAGCTACAAAGATCTTCTCCCTCCCCTGCTGGCTGAATAGAATTGTTGCAGCCATTCAATGGGCAACTGATTTTAACCTGCCCTCCATAAACAGCATTTCATGTTAAGCTGATTTAGGAGGAAGCTCTTAGTGTAAAAGAAACTCATAGCTATACAGAGACACACACATTCAGCTCAGCTTCTCCTTGCAGCCCCAACTTTCAGGTAGCTCTTTGCTATAACCCCATAAGACAGTCCCTGTGAACACAGAGAACACATATGCAGGGATATAGAGCCCTGTGTTCATGCACATGTATAGATACACCACAGGTTTGAGACAGCATAGTTTTTCCTGCAAATATTCATTCAGCTGCATTAGCTGATAGGCCTCAGCTTGTCTGTACATCAGACTGTGTTTCACTTTTTACATTTATCCTTGTGCCCGTAATGTCTGTTGCCAGGATTCTTTGCCTTCATCCCTGCAGATAAAGCCTGATGATCCTTACCTCCAGCAAGGGCACAGTGGCACCAAACTGAGTAGGGAACTATGTGCAGCCAAGAAAAGTGGGTTTAAAAATAGATTAACTTTGTGCAGCTTGGTGTTATCTGTTAAGTGGCACTGATACTAACACATGTGTTGGATATATTTTTTTAAATCTGAATGAAAGCAACTTGCAAAAGAGGGATCCTTAATTCCTTTGAACAGATGCTAAAACTGTTGCAAATTGAGTGATTTTCTCTGGTTCACCACATAAACCATTGATTGACAAAGCCAGCACCCAGATCTTCCAGGTCCTGATCCGTTAAACAGAGTGATGTTCCCCCTGTAGGGACTGTCACAGCTTTGTAGAGTCAGTACTAGACAAGTGAGGTTTTTCTTGGTTCAGAGACAAGGCAGTGGGTTGAAACTAAGTCTATTCATTGCTTTATACTTATTTATCAAATGAGCTTGTTCCCCACTTCATATCAGGAACAAATACTTACTTAATAGCAAAGTAGCAGTGTAGTTCACAGATCAGAGAATTGCAGGCAGATTAATTCCAACTCTCAGCCAACCTAAAGGTTTTTCTATAAGCACTGATTGTTGGCCCATCCCTCTTGTGAAAAAAAACCCACAGGAGATGCTTTGAAAGGCTGTCTCTATGAGCAACCCTTTGCAGAATTCCTTCCTGACCTTTTGCTCAGGAGTGAGGGATTTTGCCTGATATCATGGAGCAGGGTGTAAAACCCTCATGGCAGATTCTTGGGGATCTTCAGGTATCCAGGGGCATCTGTGTTGCGCATGTCCACTTGCATGGATGCCTTGCACAGTTGCTAGGTTCTTGGCTCCAGAGCACTGTCCATACTAATAGCATTAGTCTATCTATTTCATTGGTGCATTCTTTATCAGTCCACAGCATGGAAAGATATATTCAGCCCCTTGGGAAATCTTTGATGGATTAAGCAATGAAAATGAACAGGGAGACAACTGTTAGAGAGCAAAGGAAATAGATATAAGTGTATGATGCTGATGAAAGCCCTATATTTCTGACCACATCTGCAAGAGAAACATGTAACTTTCACCTTTTCATAGGCCTTCCCAGAACAGCGATGATGGCAAAATGGCCTGGAAACACTTTTCTGGTGATAAACAATAGAAATGATCCAACATTAAAAATAACTCTAAAGGAAAAAAAAAAAAAGTCAGAAACAACTTTGAAACAAAGGAAGGGTGGAGCAAGCAACCCTTTTGGAGAGATTTATACTCTGCTTTGTGCTGCTTATTGAACCCTGAAATGCCAGTGAAGGTTGCATCAGAAAGCTGTAAACCATATGCCTATAGCTATTATGTACAGTGTTGTAAGCATTATACAAATTAGTGAGCCTCTTACAAATTTTTTGGATGCTGTAATTAGATTTGGAGTGATTTATCTTTTTGTCATTGTTTCAGCATATGACATGACATGAAAAGAGGAGGGTTTGTTGCAAACAGCATTTTAACCACAAAAAGTTATTTTGCAGAAGAAAATGTACTTCCAAGATTTAATTCAATACTGAGTGTTACACAAATCATGTGAAAAACAGTCTTGCTGTGGTAACAGCAGAATTAAGCACAGGTGGCCGAAGACTCTTGGACTGAATTTTGAATTTCTGGTATGTACTGCTGCTTTGCAGTTATGTTGGTAGCAATGCAACTAAATGCTTTCCTGTAAGCTTTAAATGGCATCAGCAAAACCGCATACAACCTGATTCTTCTTTTTAATACAGAAAGTCTGTAGGATCCGGGTCTTACAAGTAAACAGTTCAGAGCATATAATAATCCAACTTTTCACTAGCCTCCCTCCCTTCTGTCTTACTCCTTACAACAGACCTGAACAACACATACTTTCTCAAAAAGACTTCTGTGTGATTGGCAGGCCTGGTAGGAACTTCTGTCAGATGCTATTGTCGAGTGTGACCAGCAGGTTGAAGGAGGTGATCCTGCCCCTCTACCCTGCTCTCATGAGACCCCACCCACAG